CTGGCACATATTGCGTTCTCCACGCTTGCACGCTGGCCGCTCGGAGGAAACTTCCCGTTCAGAAAGGGTGCTCTCAGGCTGCTTGGCATTCGCCTCGGCTGCAGGGCGTTCGGGCTCAGCGGGCGCGCGTGGGCCGGCAGCTTCCGCCGCCTGCGTCGGCGCCGATCCTGCTTTCGCACGCCCGGTCTTGAGGTGGGGATTCAAACTGAAATCCACCTCCGTAGGAGCGATCGCCCCCTCCGAACTCGCGGCGGACATGGAACTGCGATCGCCCACTGCACCGCCCTCGAAAACTTGCTCCACATTGCCGGCGCCAGAGCTCCCGGTGACATCTGCTCTTTCGCCAGAACCCGCGCCCCGAGAAGAGCCTTCTTCAGGATGCAGTCTTCTCGGGGAAAGCCATCTCGAGCAACGTCTGCAGCGCGCGGCCACAGCAAATGCCAGTGTTCCTGGCGACTGGATGGATGCGATGCGCCCGCGGCTCCGGCTGCGTAAAAATCAGCCGAGTACTGCGGATCGAAATGACCGGACATGCACGACGCGAAGGGCCGCGCGTGCATCTTCACTAGAGTCTCGGTTGCGCCCGCGTGGAAATTCATCGAATCAGACGGCTTACGCCGCCCCGAGAATTCACATCCATCGCGCCCTTCTTCACCATCTTCCCTCAAAGTCCGCGTGTGAAACGCCGTTCCCTCCCAGCGGTTCTTTCACCGGAGGACCTAACCTACCCTGCTCTGAACCGTTTTCCCCTTTGTGGCCTACGCGTAGAACGCACCCCCCCCTGGTTTAAACCTCCGGCCCCCCTCGCTGACGCAGCGGCGCAGAGGCGACGGCGCGGCGTAAGCCAGCGAATCGCGAGCTCGCCGCGCCAGACCAGGATACGCCGTTCCAGCTAAATCAGGGAAGAATGCCGGCTCATTGAGGAAGAAAAAGTGCCTGCTCGTGCATGCTCCACTTGCGCGCGCAAACAGATTTCGCAAACGCGCCTCAATGTCGGAGTTCCATGCCTGGTCGCTGAGGAAGTCGCTACCGTGAAAGATTGCGAGGCCGAGGTCATATTCAGGAGCGCGCCCCCAAGCCGATGCCAAGTCAGCGACTTTGGCCCTGGGGATGGACACCGCCCAAAGAGGCGCCAGGCCTGCTGAGCAAAGCAGCATGGCGAGGCCATGCCTGACGCCGTCGGACCTCCGCCACCTTCGAAAGCGAAGGTAATACATATGAGAGTACCTCTTCTTGGCGACTAAGATTCTAGCTTCAATCACACATAGGAGGAACCAGGGCCCTTCACGCGAATCGACGATCGTAAACTGGCGGGCCGCGGCGAAAGCCATGTCAATGATCGAAGAATCTCCAAGTGTGCACGCAGTCCAGCAGCGACAAGGTTGTGACATGAAAAGCGCCGCGCACGACTGGATGACGAAGATCTGCTCTGTTGCCCCACTGGCTCGTCGTGGCGCCCAACAGAAAACGACGTGGCAGAGGCCGTGCGATCTTCTCATTGGAAAGCGCTGGCATCCCGCACCATTCCCAGGATGTCGCCCCAAAAGGTGCTGGGGCTGAGCGTTCCGTCGCTGCTGCAGGTGCGCCATTCCCGCGCGCCCTCAGCCCGCTTGAATGCCGCTTGCCGCCAACGCAATGCGCAACCAACTCGGGCATGGCGAAGGCTAAGCTGTGCGCCAGATACCCAGTCTGCTCTTCCAGAGACCTCTGAGAAGCGGCAGCATCAGCGAAATAATGGCCGTGCATCTGGTAGAACATGTCCGCGGCGCCCTGCAGCCGTCGCTCGTGCGCGCGAAAGTCCGCGAAGGACTGGCTCTGCGACTTCGCCTTCTCCATCAAGCGCGAGCAGAAAGCCCTGGCGTTCTTTAAGACTTCGGAGACCACCGCCAAATATTGTTCGTCTCGCGCCTCGACTCCAACGCCGCGCGCAGCAACGTCCCAATCGAAAGCAATCGCGTCCTTCTCGAGCAGGCATGCGATTGATACCGCATCGGCGCGAAGGCCGTATAAAGCAGCCTTCTCTATGAATGGAAAGAGTGTGCTGGACAGCGGCGACGTAGACAGGACTGATGCACGCGGCCGAGAGCAAGCGCAGCGCAAGCCGCCAAGAAATACAGCATCCCTGCGTAGATTTGGGAGAAAGTCTAACAGCATGCGCCCTGGATCATCGCAGAAAGCCTTCATCTCCCAATGCTGTTCTACGTCATCTACTGCATCGCCGTGCGTCAATCGGGGCTGCGCCGGATGATCAAATATCGCTGTGTCTAAAGCAACTTCGAAACATAATTCGCAAATAGATCCAGTAATCCCCTCGTGGATATCGCTGTCGAAAGCCTTCGCCGCATACATGCCAAATGCCCGGTAAGCGCCAGCGAGGGCTCGTGGAAGACCCAGCGCACACGGCACAACTTCGCCGTGAGAAACCTTGGGGTTGTGATCCTGGCGTGCTCGCACCCAGTTCTTGACGAGCGGCGTGGTGTTGTCCAGGACGTACGAGCCCATGTCAAAACGATCGCCAAGTTGGATGGGGCGCCCGAAGACTGGCCCAGCAGGCACCCAAGCGCCGCCGAAGACGGTTTCACGCTTGCCCGTTAAGGATTGCCTATGGCCGTACCCAGCAAGTGGAGGTAGCAGAACGACGCTGGGCTTGGCACCAGAGCGGCGCCGATCCTTCAGCCACAGGTCGAAGTGCTTGAGCTGCGCCGGGCGCGTATTGTCGAGCACCACCTGCATAGCCTCACACCACGATGCATCGACCGACAAGCCCTTGCTGCCAAACCAGCTAGGATCACCATTCCGAGCGCCGAGCTCGTACTTCCCATGGCCTCGCAGTCCTGCTTGCGTACTGTCCGTGGCCTGAGATACATGATGGTAGAACACGCCTGGTGCCAACAAGGGGTGCGGAGGCTCGCGCCCGAGACGGCCCAAGAGGGCCCCATAACGGCCCCCAAAAGTGGCCCAAGAGAAGGAACACGAACCGACAATCCGAGTGTTCCGCCCCAGGAGGCCCCCAAGGAGGCTCCAAGAGGCACCCAAGAGGCCCCAAGAGGCTCCAAGAGGCCCTCAAGGGGCCCAACAGCGACCCCACGAGGCTCCGAACTGCCCCCAAGAGGCATCAAAACTGCATCCAAGAGGCCCCCTACGGGTCCCCCACGAAATCCCAACGAACATCGAATAAGCTTCATACCCAAGACCAACAGAGGTGCAACAGAGAATCAAGAGTCCAGGGTGCTAGGCTCAGGCTTACATGTCTCACCTGAACCCTTCCCGCCGTGCTCGGAAAGGCACCGCGACAGCAAACGACTCAAACATGCGTCGCTCAATAGGGGCCAGCGGCAGAGGCGGCAGCCTTTAGATGCGCAGAAAGAGAAGACGAGGAGGAAGGAGGAGAAAGAGACGGAGGAGGACACGAGCGCGAGGAATGAAGCGGACGACGGCGACGAAGGCGACGGCGACGGCGACGACGGAGGAGAGTAAGGAGCACGAGGAACAGGACGTCGAAGAGGGGGGGCCCTCGTCATGTTCTGAGGTCAACACACGCCCTGGTCCTGCACTAGCCAGAAAGGCGCGCCTTAGAAGATTCCCCCACTCGGGGGCGAGGTACTGTAAGAACATGTTCAAATAAGCTTAAAAGGAAGCCCACGGGCGGCTTATCAGAGTGGGCACCCTATGTCACCCCAACACCCTGTCACCCCAACACCCGAGCCCTGACACCCTAACGCCCGAACGCCGTGATCATCATCATCATCATCCTCATCAGCATCATCACCCTCATCAACATCATCATCATCATCATCATCATCATCATCATCATCATCACCCTCATCATCATCATCATCATCATCATCATCATCATCATCATCATCATCACCCTCATCATTATCACCATCATCGCCCACGCATGCGCGCCAGAGGCATTCGCACACCGCAATCAGGAACATACACAACTCTGCGGTTGGTTTGCATCTCGAGTCTAGAGGGTTTGAAACTTATTGCTTGGTGGAACGTAAAACTATACGATGTATAGTAATGCAAAGAACAATACGAGACAAAGCGTGACACACATTACATGCTAGGAAACAATCCATTAGAATTGGAAAGTCATAAGCAGCAGCAAGTGGACACACAACTACGCTTCACTCAGAGACCCACACGCAGGCCGGGCGCGTCCTCCCACGGGTGGATTTTGCAGGACAAATAAAAGACATTCAAAACTATATTGAAACAAACGACAAATAATATAGAAAGATCGCGCCCCCGGCTATTCCTTGAATGCGTTTGAAAACTCTTCCAGAAGAGGGGCACGCCTGACTTGGTTCCAATTTCCCAATTGTGATGGAAGAGCGGTTCTCGAGGCCATGACGAGTCCCGAGGCAGCCAAAAAGACCCCCCGGCCTCTCACGAACAACCTGCACGGCTCAAAGGAACGGCACCGAAGCAAGGCACACTATCACAATACATGTGGACGCGCACTCACCAATCTGCAGTGGGACGTGAGGAACCAATATGCAGCGGTCGTTCAGGTCCACCACTCGACACCCCTAAAACAACCTGCGCGGCTCAAAGGACAGGCCCTGAGGCGGACTCCGAACATAACTTTACCACCTGCACTCCCCACGTGCTCCCAGCCCGCACAAATAGCACCACATCGCCCTAGCGATGTCCAGCTAGAACTTCCCCAGTGATGCGACGCAGCATAATCCTGGACCTTGTCACGTTGTACTCCTACTCGCCCTCTGCCTCCTCCTCAGACTCATCCTCCTCCTGCTCTCCCGTCCCTCCCTGCTCCTGCCCCCGCCGCTGCAGCGTGCCATCCTCTCCCCACCCCCATCCCCTCCTCTTTCTGGTTCTCCCCCTTCTCCCACAGGCCACAACGCGAACCTCAGCTGAAATCACTGGCACCATCTGCCAAGCGGCCTCCTGAGTTATCCAGGTTCGTCGTCCATGCGTCTTCCTTGAAAAAACACCACGTCTTAGACCACGATACCGACGATTCCAATTTTCCAAGAAGAGGACAGCACCAGAGGTCGAAGATGGAGATGCTCACGAAAGCAACGTGCTCGCCGAAATGTGAACGTGGCGTTCCGACCGCACGGGCCGGCCTGAAGTGGCCAGCTTCAGGACTTCTGCCTATGCGCTAAACAGCGGCCCAGGGCGGCAACCTGGGAGTCTCGTCTTTCATCTGCGAGAGAGTGATGCTTGGGAACTGGCAACATTGCAGTGATGTGTTCCGAAACATCCACTGCGCCACATTACAATCCGCCTCTGCGCTGGCAGCGGTAGGTGTGTGTGTGTGTGTGTGTGTGTGTGTGTGTGTGTGTGTGTGTCGGCCCCTTTCGTTCCTTGCGAAGCAATAATTCGGGCCCCTCGACGCATGGAGCCCAAGATGCCTTCGCTTTGGTCACTAAGTCTCTGCGGCTGCAGCCTTCCAAGCGGAAAATGGTTTCAACTACGAGCCGCGGGAGAACCCCAAGATAACCCGAACAAGGCGCGACGAGAACTCCGCGAGAACCCCGAGATAGCTCCAACATTCCTTCGACAACCTTTCCCAACAACTCCCTCGCTCGCAAGAGCATCGCTGCTGGCTGCGACGGTCGAAGAAGGTTCCGAAGATTTCTCACCCAAATTCTGCGTCATGTCTCTTGACCTCCTCCTCCTCGCCATTGTACATTCTCTTATCTCCCTCCTCTTTCTTCATCCCTTCTCATGAACCCCGCGCGAATTCCCTCGAACTCAGTATTACAGCATCATTTCCACACAGCTGTTCGTGATATTCCTCCTCCACGCGGTACGCGCCCCACCCCCGTCCCCATGACCACGATACTGCACCACACCTGCCGCTGTGCTCCCCTGGCAATTGCTTCTGGATGGGCTGGTGGGGATGCGTTTTTCCCCATATCCAAAGAGATGGGGTTCTTGTTATTGGCGGACCGCGCCGGAGGAAGAGAGAGAGAGAGAGCATAACACCACCTCACCTCCTCTCACTCAGTCCCACTCAGACTCAGTCATCACTCAGACTCCCTCATCACTCAGACTCAGTCAGTCACTCAGACTCACTCATCACTCAGACCCATTCATCACTCATACTCACTCATCATTCAGACCCACTCGTCACTGGGACTCACTCATGACTCAGACTCATCACTCATCACTCAGACTCATTCATCACTCAGACTCACTCATCACTCAGACTCACTCATCACTCAGACTCACTCGTACTTGCACTCGTACATTCACTACACTCACTCAGGTCCACTCATCGGATGACTCACACACACACAAACTCTGATGTTGAGGATGTGTCAGGCGATTCTGTGGCTTCAGCACTCCTAAGGGGAGCGGCGGGGGGGTATTTCCCTCGGCCCCTTTCGCGGATTGTTGTGGGGATGTCTCAGGCGGTTTGGCCATTTTCTCTTCCAACATGTTTCGCTTTCGGAGCAGTTTGCGAGGATGTCTCAGGCGATTCGCTGGTTTCAGCACTTAAGGGGGGCGGCGGGGGGGCATTTCCCTCGGCACCTTTCGCGGATTCGTGTGGGGATGTCTCAGGCGGTGTTGCCTTCTTCTCCTCCAGCATGTTTCGCTTTCGGAACAGATTTGGAGGAGGAGGAGGAGGCAGGAGGAGGAGGAGGAACAGGAGGAGGAGGAGGAGGACCAGGAGGACGAGGAGGAGGATGAGGAGGAGGAGCAGGACCAGGAGGAGGAGGAGGATGAGGAGGAGGAGGAGCAGGACTAGGAGGAGGAGGAGGAGGATGAGGAGGAGGAGGAGGAGGAAAAGGAGGAGGAGGAGGCAGGGGAGGCAGGAGGACGGCAAGTCTTCTCTCTTCTTCTTTCCTTCATCATCCGACGGATGAGGAAGGAGGAGGAGGAAGAGGAGGAGGAGTAGGCGGAGCCAGGTGGCTGAGGGGAGGTGTAGGAGGAAGAGGGGGAACAGGAGGAGGAGGAGGAGGGGCGGACCAGGAGAAGGAGGATGAGGAGGAGGAGGAGGACCAGGAGGAGGAGGAGGAGGAGGACCAGGAGGAAGAGGAGGATCACCAATATTAGGAGGATGAGGAGGAGGCAGGGGAGGCATGAGGACGGCAAGTCGTCTCTCTTCCTCTTTCCTTTATCCTCCGACGGATGAGGAGGAGGAGGGGGACCAGGAGGAGGAGGAGGATGATGATGATGATGAGGAGGAGGAGGAGGAGGAGGAGGAGGAGGAGGAGGAGGGGGACCAGGAGGAAGGGGAGGAGGATGAGGAGGAGGAGGAGGAGGAGGATTACTCGACGTGGGGTCCCCCATATGTGCATCTCATTCTCTTGGTACGTCTTTCTCTTGATACCTGTCAATGAGCGCCTGTGTGCGGGGGCGAACCGCTCGCTCGAGACATTCCCACAGTCTGCAAGCACAAGTGCGACCAATAGCAAATCTGAGAGCGACTGATTCTGAGTGGGAGTTAGCCTGGGTGCGATTGAGCCTGGGTTTGGGTGGGTATGCGTGTGAGCAAATATGAGCGCGAGTGCGTCTGTGTGCGATTGGGTCTGCGTATGGACGAATCTGGGTGTGAGCCAATCTGTGATTGAGCGGATCGTAGCATGATGAGTCTCAGCATGAGTGAGTCTGGGCTTGAGTGGGTCTGAGTGTGGGAAAAAATGTGTGTTGATGAATCTGGGTGCGAGTGAGCCGAGTGTGATTGGGTATGGATGTGAGGCACTCTGAATGTGAGTCGGTCTGCGTTTGAGCGGACCGAAGGATGATGAGTCTGAGCAGGGGCGAGTCTGAGTATGAGTGGTTCTGAGGGTGAGTCTGCATGTGGGTAAGTTTAAGTATGGATATGGGCGAGTCTAAGTGCGAGTGAGCCTGCGTGTGACTGGGTCGGAGCATAAGCGATTATCAATGCAGAAGGGTGGAGGAGAGCGGAGGGCGAAGGAGAGTGAGGCGGAAGCGTTTGAGTAAAACCTATAAAGCTTTGGAACATCGAACCTCGATCGTCTGGCCCTGGCTACTCGAGTTGCCCACGTCCTCCTCCTCCTCCTCTTCCTCCTCCTCTCCACCACCACCATCATCATCATCATCATCATCATCATCATCATCATCATCATCAACATCATCATCATCATCATCATCCCCTTCCTGCTTCTGCGCCTACCGTGGTCATGCTGTCCTCCGTTTCCTCCTCCTCCTCCTCTTCCTCCTCGTCCTCTTCCTCCGCCTCCTCGCTTCCTCCTTCTCTTCCTCCTCATCCTCCTCCTCCTCATTCCTCCTATTCCTCCTCCTCCTCCTCCTCCTCCTCCTCTTCCTCCTTGGGAGTGCTGAAACCAGCAAATCGCCTGAGACGTCCTCCCAAAACTGCTCCGAAAACGACAGATGCCCAGCATCGTAACGGCCAGACCGCCTGAGACATTCCCGCAAACTGGGAGCAAACGTCCTCCAAATCTGCTCCGAAAGCGAAACATGTTGGAAGAGAAAATGGCCCAATCGCCTGAGACATCCCCACAACATCCCGCGAAAGGGGCAAAATGAAATACCACCCCGCCGCTTCCCTTAGAGTGCTGAAACCAGCGAATCGCCTGAGACATCCTCGCAAACGGTTCCGAAAGCGAAACATGCTGGAAAAGAGAATGGCCAAACCGCCTGAGACATCCCGACAACCTCCCGCGAAAGGGGCCGATTGAAATGCCCGCCCGCCGCCCCCCTTAGAGTGCTGAAACCAGCGGATCGCCTGAGACATCCTCCAAATCTGCTCCGAAAGCGAAACATGCTGGAAGAGAAAATGGCCAAACCGCCTGAGACATCCCCACAAAATCCATCGAACGGGGCTGAATGCAATGTCACCCCGCCGCTCCCTTTAGGAGTGCTGAAACCAGCGAATCGCCTGAGACATCCTCCAAATCTGCTCCGAAAGCGAAACATGTTGGAGGAGAAAAAGACACAACCGCCCTCGACGCGGGGCCCCCCATATGTGCATCTCATTATCTTGGTACGTCTTTCTCTTGATACCTGTCAATGAGCGCCTGTGTGCGGGGGCGAACCGCTCGCTCGAGACATTCCCACAGTCTGCAAGCATGAGTGCGACCAATAGCAAATCTGAGAGCGACTGATGCTGAGTGTGAGTTAATCTGGGTGCGATTGACCCTGGGTTTGAGTGGGTATGCGTGTGAGTAAATATGAGCGCGAGTGCGTCTGTGTGCGAGCGGGTCTGAGTATGGACGAATCTGAGTGTGAGCCAGTCTGTGATTGAGCGGATCGTAGCATGATGAGTCTGAGCATGAGTGAGTCTGGGCTTGAGTGGGTCTGAGTGTGGGAAAAAGTGTGTGCTGATGAATATAAGTGCGAATGAGCCGAGTGTGATTGGGTATGGATGTGAGGCAGACTGAATGTGAGTCGGTCTGCGTTTGCGCGAACCGAAGGCTGATGAGTCTGAGCAGGAGCGAGTCTGAGTATGAGTGGTTCTGAGCGAGAGTCTGAGTGTGAGTAAGTTGAAGTATGGATATGAGCGAGTCTAAGTGCGAGTGAGCCTGCGTGTGACTGAGTCTGAGTACGAGTGAGTATGAATGCAGAAGAGTGAAGGAGAGCGGAGAGCGAAGGAGAGTGAGGCGGAAGCGTTTGAGTAAAACCTAAAGCTTTGGAGCATCGAACCTCGATCGCCTGGCCCTGGCTACTCGAGCTGCACACGTCCTCCTCCTCCTCCTCCTCATCATCATCATCATCACCTTCCTGATTCTGCTCCTACCGTGTTCATGCTGTCCTCCTTCTCCTCCTCCTCCTCCTCGTTTCATCCTCCTCTTCCTCCTCCTCCTCCTCCTCCTCCTCCTCCTCCTCCTCCCCTTCTCCTCCTCCTCCTCCTCCTCCCCCTCCTCCTCCTCATTGGGAGTGTTGAAACCAGCAAATCGCCTGAGATATCCTCCCAAAACTGCTCCGAAAACGACAGATGCACAGCATCAGAACGGCCAAACCGCCTGAGACATCCCCGCAAACTGGGCGCAAACGTCCTCCAAATCTGCTCCGAAAGCGAAACATGTTGGAGGAGAAAATGGCCAAACCGCCTGAGACATCCCCACACAATCCAGCGAAAGGGGCCGACGGAAACACGCCCCCGCCGCTCCCCTTAGGAGTGCTCAAACCAACGAATCGCCTGAGACGTCCTCCAAATCTGTTCCGAAAACGAAACATGTTGGAAGAGAAAAAGGCCAAACCGCCTGAGACGTCCCCACAACATCCCGCGAAAGGGGCCGAATGAAATACCCCCCGCCGCTCCCCTTAGAGTGCTGAAAGCAGCGAATCGCGTGAGAAATTCTCCAAATCTGCCCCGGAAGCGAAACATGTTGGAAGAGAAAATGGCCAAACCGCCTGAGACATCCACACAAAATCCAGCGAAAGGGGCCGACGGAAATACGCCCCCGCCGCTCCCCTTAAGAGTGCTCAAACCAGCGAATCGCCCGAGACATCCTCCAAATATGCTCCGAAAGCGAAACATGTTGAAAGAGAACATGGCCAAACCGCCTGAGACATCCACACGAAATCATGCGAAAGGGGCCGAAGGAAATACCCACCCGCCGCTCCCCTTAGAAGTGCTGAAGCCACATAATCGCCTGAGACATCCTCAACATCAGTGTGTGTGAGTCATCCGATGAGGGGACCTGGGTGTGTGTAGTGAATGTATAAGTACGGACCTGGGTGTGTGTAGTGAATGTATGAGTACAAGTACGAGTGAGTATGAGTGATGGGTGAGTCTGAGTGACGAGTGAGTCTGGGTGATGAGTGAGTCTGAGTGATGAGTGATGAATCTGAGCCATGACTGAATCCGAGTGATGAGTGAGTCTGAGTGATGAATGAGTCTGAATGATGAGTGGGTCTGAGTGATGAGTGAGTCTGAGTGATGAGTGCGTGGGTCTGACTGAAAAGAGTGATGTGTTCTCTCTCCCCCCGGCGCGGTCCGCCAATAATTACTCGACGCGGGGCTCCCCATATGTGCATCTCATTATATGGGTACGTCTTTCTCTTGATATATGTCAATGAGCGCCTGTGTGCGATGGCGGACCGCTCGCTCGAGACATTCCCACAGTCTGCAAGCATGAGTGCGACCAATAGCAAGTCTGACAGCGACTGATTCTGAGTGTGAGTTAATCTGGGTGCGATTGAGCCTGGGTTTGTGCGGGTATGCGTGTGAGTAAATATGAGCGCGAGTGCGACTGTGTGCGAGTGGGTCTGAGGATGGACGAATCTGAGTGTGAGCCAGTCCTGTGATTGAGCGGATCGTAGCATGATGAGTCTGAAAATGAGTGAGTCTGGGCTTGAGTGGGTCTGAGTGTAAGAAAAAGTGTGTGCTAATGAATCTGAGTGCGAGTGAGCCGAGTGTGATTGGGTATGGATGTGAGGCAGACTGAATGTGAGTCGGTCTGCGTTTGAGCGGACCGAAGGATGATGAGTCTGAGCAGGAGCGAGTCTGAGTATGAGTGGTTCTGAGCGTGAGTCTGAGCTTGAGTAAGTCTAAGTATGGAAATGAGCGAGTCTAAGTGCGAGTGAGCTTGCGTGTGACTGAGTCTGAGTATGAGTGAATATGAATGCAGAAGAGTGAAGGAGAGCGGAGAACGAAGGAGAGTGAGGCGGAAGCGTTTGAGTAAAACCTAAAGCTTTGGAACATCGAACCTCGATCGTCTGGCCCTGGCTACTCGACTTGCCCACGTCCTCCTCCTCCTCCTCCTCATCATCATCATCATCATCAGCATCATCCCCTTCCTGCTTCTGCTCCTACCGTGTTCATGCTGTCCTCCTTCTCCTCGTCCTCCTCCTCCTCGTCCTCTTCCTCCTCCTCTTCGCTTCCTCCTTTTCTTCGTCCTCCTCCTCCTCCTCCTCCTCGTTGTCCTCCTCCTCCTCGTTTTCCTCCTCCTCCTCCTCCTCCTCCTCCTCCTCCTCCTCCTCCCCCTCCTCCTCCTACTCCTCCTCCTCCTCCTCCTCCTCCTCCTTGGGAGTGCTGAAAGCAGCAAATCGCCTGAGACATCCTCCCAAAACTGCTCCGAAAACGACAAATGCCCAGAATCATAACGGCCAAACCGCCTGAGACATCCCCGCGCACTGGGCGCGAACGTCCTCCAAATCTGCTCCGCAAGCGAAACATGTTGCAAGAGAAAATGGCCAAACCGCCTGCGACATCCCCACAAAATCGCGCGAACGGGGCCCGCGAAATACCCCCCATGCTGGAGGAGAAAATGGCCAAACCGCCTGAGACATTCCCACACAACTCCGCGAACGGGACCCCGTGAAATACCCCCCCGCCGCCCCCCTTAGAGTCCTGAGACGAGCGAATCGCCTGAGACATCCTCCAAAGCTGCTCCGAAAGCGACACATGTTGGAAGAGAAAATGGCCAAACCGCATGAGACATCCCCACAAAATTCCGCGAACGGGACCTCGTGAAATCCCCCCCCCCGCCGCCCCCCTTAGAGTGCTGAGACGAGCGAATCGCCTGAGACATCCTCCAAATCTGCTCCGAAAACAACACATGTTGGACAAGAAAATGGCCAAACCGCCTGCGACATGCCCACAAAACTCCGCGAACGGGACCCCGTGAAATACACCGCCGCCGCTCCCCTTAGGAGTGCTGAAACAACCGAATCGCCTGACACATCCTCAACATCAGTGTGTGTGTGGGTCATCCGATGAGTGGACCTGAGTGAGTGTAGTGAATGTATGAGTACAAGTACGAGTGAGTCTGAGTGATGAGTGAGTATGAGTGATAAATGAGTCTGAGTGATGAGTGAGTCTGAGTGATGAGTGATGAGTCTGAGTCATGACTGAGTCCGAGTGATTAGTGAGTCTGAGTGATGAGTGAGTCTGAGTGATGAGTGGGTCTGAGTGACGAGTGAGTCTGAGTGATGAGTGAGTCCGAGTGATGAGTGAGTCTGCGTGATGAGTGAGTCTGAGTGGGTCTGAGTGAGAGAAGGCGAGGGTGTTCGTGTTCTCCTGTGTTCCTCCAGCGCGGCCTGCCAATAACAAGAACCCCTTTCTTAGGAGATGGGGAACAAGAACCCCATACTTAGGATATGGGGGAAAATCCGCGAAAGGGGCCGAGGGAAATACCCCCCCGCCGCCCCCCTTAAGTGCTGGAACCAGCGAATCGCCTGAGACATCCTCGCAAACTGCTCCGAAAGCGAAACATGTTGGAAGAGAAAATGGCCAAACCACCTGAGACATCCCCACAAAAATCCGCGAAAGGGGCCGAGGGAAATACCCCCCCGCCGCTCCCCTTAGGAGTACTGAAGCCACAGAATCGCCTGACACATCCTCAACATCAGTGTGTGAGAGTCACCCGATGAGTGGACCTGAGTGAGTGTAGTGAATGTATGAGTACAAGTACGAGCGCGTCTGAGTGATGAGTGAGTCTGAGTGATGAGTGAGTCTTAGTGATGAGTGAGTCTTAGTGATGAGTGATGAGTCTGAGTCATGACTGAGTCCGAGTGATGAGTGGGTCTGAGCGATGAGTGAGTCTGAACGATGAGTAAGTCTGAGTGATGAGTGAGTCTGAGTGACTGACTGAGTCTGAGTGATGAGGGAGTGACTGAGTCTGAGTGGGTCTGAGTGAGAGGAGGTGAGGTGGTGTTCTGTTCTCTCTCTGTTCCTGCGGCGCGGTCCGCCAGTAACAAGAATCCCATCTCTTTGGATCCCCATATGTGCATCTCATTATCTTGGTACGTCATCGAGTCGGATAGAAAACTCGAAGGAAGAGGAGGAGGAGGAGGAAGAGGACGACGAGAACGAGGAGGACGACGACGAGGAGAACGAGGAGGAGGACGGGGAGGAGAACGAGGAGGACGACAAGGAGAACGAGGACGACGACGACGACGACGACGACGAGGACGAGGAGGGAGAGGGCGGCCGGAGGCAGCTTCTGTGCCCCCCGGGGCCCCTCGGAGCCGCTGCGTGCAGCTCGGCCGACCGGCGCGGCGACGCCATCAAACCGCCAGGCCGCTGGACTTCGTCGTCGTCGTCGTCGTCGTCGTCGTCGTCGTCGTCCGTCGTCCGCCGTCGTCCGTCGTCCGTCGTCCGTCGTCCGTCGTCCGTCGTCCGTCGTCCGTCGTCCGTCGTCGTCGTCGTCGTCGTCGTCGTCGTCGTCGTCGTCGTCGTCGTCGTCGTCGTCGTCCGTCGTCCGTCGTCCCTCGTCCCTCGTCCGTCGTCCGTCGTCCGTCGTCCGTCGTCCGTCGCCCGTCGTCGTCGTCGTCGTCGTCGACGTCGTCGTCGTCCGTCGATGTTGTCGTCGTCGTCGAGGAGTGAGACGAAGAGGAACGAGAGGAGAAAGAGAAAGAGCAGGACGTTAGGGCATGTACCCAGACCGCTTTCGCCAGTGCGCAGCGTACAGCGAAGGGTTAAAAGCGAAACGAATTCAACTGTTTAAAATCTGCGTTTAAACAGTCGATCCTCTCAGTGAGGCCGTCCTTTGCGGATCCGACTGAATATACATATTGAATTAACCATGCAAACAACTGCTCAATGTATATCCCAGCTGATCCTCTCAGTGAGGCCGGACTTTGCGCCTCCAGCTGATTTAAACACAAAAGTTGAACAGATGTTTAGCTGCACGCTGCCAAGCTGCTGGGAGGATGTGGAGAGGAGAGAAAAGAGGTTACCTCGCATGCGACATCACCTACCGTTTAGCGCGTGGCCCGCGAGTGCGAACATCTTGTCTACCTGTTTAGCGGCGGTCGCGGGCGCGTGAGCTCACTTCCAAGGCTTTCGCAGATCCGCCGACCCCTCGTGGGTCTCTGGGCGCGTGAGATTCCCCTCCAAAAATTCTTTCTCCCCCACCCCCCAGGGGCCCCAAAACTGGGAATTTGACCCCCCCCAGGCCTGGGGGGATTAAGGGTCCCCCGACGACCCAAGAGGGCCCCAAGACGCACCCAAGACGGTTCAAGAAGGCCCCGAGTCTCTGAAAGATCGCTCCAAGACGCCCAAAATAGCCCCAAGACGGCTGAAGAGCCCTCCAGGAGCACTTCCAAGAGGCCAAACCATAAGTGTTCTGAAAAAATCTGTGGAGGATTTTGGTATTCTCGCCTTTTCGGCCTTCCGCCGCTCCATGACGTCCCTAGAAGCCTCCAAGACCACTCCAAGACGGCCCAAGAAGCCTCCAAGACGGCCCCAAAACGGCCCCACAGGGCGCCCAAGACGGCCCAAGAGGCGCCCAAGACGGCCCACGAGGGCCCCCAGACAGCCTCAAGAGGGGCCCAAGAAGGGGAACGCGAACCGAACCTCCGGCCCCAAGGAGCCCCGAGGAGGCCCCCAAGAGGCCCCCCAAGAGGCCTCAAGAGGCTCCCCAGATGCCTAAAGGAGGCCCCAAAACGATCCCCAGAGGCCTCAAAACTGCCTCTAGGAGGCTCCCGAGAGGCTTCCCACGAGACCCCAACGAACATCCAAGAGGCCTATGACCCACAACCCAGGCACGGCGGCGAGATGGGCCGAAGGCCATTACGTAGATATAGGGGTCGGCGGATGTGGCGCAAGCCTGTAGAATCTACTCATACCAAGACTTACTCAGACACAAACTTACTCATACTCAGACCTCATATCCTAAGATGGGGTTCTTGTTATTCCCCATCTCCAAAGAGATGGGGTTCTTGTTATTCCCCATATCCAGAGAGATGGGGTTCTTGTTATTGGCGGACCGCGCCGGAGGAACCGAGAGAGAACAGAACACCACCTCACCTCCTCTCACTCAGACCCACTCAGACTCAGTGATCACTCAGACTCCCTCATCACTCAGACTCAGTCAGTCACTCAGACTCACTCATCACTCAGACCCACTCATCATTCAGACTCACTCATCGCTCAGACCCACTCATCACTCGGACTCAGTCATGACTCAGACTCATCACTCATCACTCAGACTCACTCATCACTCAGACTCACTCATCACTCAGACTCACTCATCACTCAGACTCACTCGTACTTGTACTCATACATTCACTACACTCACTCAGGTCCACTCATCGGATGACGCACACACACTGATGTTGAGGATGTGTCAGGCGATTCTGTGGCTTCAGCACTCTAAGGGGAGCGGCGGGGGGGTATTTCCCTCGGCCCCTTTCGCGGATTTGTGTGGGGATGTCTCAGGCGGTTTGGCCATTTTCTCTTCCAACATGTTTCGCTTTCGGAGCAGTTTGCGAGGATGTCTCAGGTGATTCGCTGGTTTCAGCACTTAAGAGGGGCGGCGGGGGGGTAATTCCCTTCGGCCCCTTTTCGCGGATTTTTGTGGGGATGCCTCAGGCGGTTTTGCCTTTTTCTCCTCCAACATGTTTCGCTGTCGGAGCAGATTTGGAGGATATCTCAAGCGATTCGCTGGTTTCAGCACTCTAAGGGGAGCGGCGGGGGGGTAGTTCACTCGGCCCGCTTTTGCGGGATGTTGTGGGGATGTCTCAGGCGGTTTGGCCTTTTTCTCTTCCAACATGTTTCGCTTTCGGAGCAGATTTGGAGGACGCCTCAGGCGACTCGCTGGTTTCAGCACTCTAAGGGGAGCGGCGGGGGGGTATTTCCCTCGGCCCTTTCGCGGATTTGTGTGGGGATGTCTCAGGCGGTTTGGCCATTTTCTCTTCCAACATGTTTCGCTTTCGGAGCAGATTTGGAGGACGTTCGCGCCCAGTTTGCGGGGATATCTCAGGCGGTTTGGCCGTTATGATGCTGGGCATCTGTCGTTTTCGGAGCAGTTTTGGGAGGATGTCTCAGGCGATTTGCTGGGTTCAGCACTCCCAAGGAGGAGGAGGAGGAGGAGGAGGAGGAAGAGGAGGAGGAGGAGGAGGAGGAGGAAGAAGAGGAAGAGGAGGAGGAGGAGGAGGGGGAGGAGGAGGAAGAGAAGGAGGAAGCGAGGAGGAGGAGGAAGAGCACGAGGAGGAGGAGGAGAAGGAGGACAGCATGAACACGGCAGGAGCAGAAGCAGGAAGGGGATGATGATGATGATGATGAGGAGGACGAGGAGGAGGAGGAGGACGTGGGCAACTCGAGTAGCCAGGGCCAGACGATCGAGGTTCGATGTTCCAAAGCTTTAGGTTTTACTCAAACGCTTCCACCTCACTCTCCTTCGCTCTCCGCTCTCCTTCACTTTTCTGCATTCATACTTCCTCATACTCCGACTCAGTCACACGCAGACTCACTCGCACTTAGACTCGCTCATATTTGTACTTAAACTTACTCACACTCAGACTCACGCTCAGAACCACTCATACTCAGACTCGCTCCTGCTCAGACTCATCATCCTTCGGTCCGCTCAAACGCGGACCGACTCACATTCAGTCCGCCTCACATCCATACCCAATCACACTCGGCTCACTCGCACTCATATGCGTTAACACACAGCTTTTCTCACACTCAGACCCACTCAAACCCAGACTCACTCATGCTCAGACCCATCATGCTACGATCCGCTCAATCACAGACTGGCTCACACTCAGATTCGTCCATACTCAGACCCACTCGCACACAGACGCACTCGCACTCATATTTGCTCACACGCATACCCACTCAAACCCAGGCTCAATCGCACCCAGATTAACTCACACTCAGAATCAGTCGCTCTCAGATTTGCTATTGGTCGCACTCATGCTTGCAGACTGTGGGAATGTCTCGAGCGAGCGGTTCGCCCTCGCACACAGGCGCTCATTGACAGATATCAAAAGAAAGACGTACCAATATAATGAGATGCGCATATGGGGAGCCCCGCGTCGAGCAGTTGTAGCAACCGCAAGCGAAACCGCAGGCGGCGAGTAACGGAACAGGCGGGCCGCGCGCGAACCTAATTGCCTAATGTGTCAGCGAACAGAAGCCTAGGCGGCACCTCAGATCACCGGAAGCGGGAGGTGGTGCGGGCTGCAGCTGCCAGGAAACATGTCCGGGAGCGAGCGCATGCATTATTAGCCAGCCACGGTTGGGGCGCAGCCAAAATGGCGCGGGAGCGATGCCATAATGAAGCCAGGAGCACCATCACGAAGGACCGCTGAAACCAGATAGGCCAGGAAGAAGTCACTCACCAGGAAACTAGTGCATGGAAATGGCGCCACCAAAGTCGCACACAACGCTCACAAGTGGCCGCTGGAGGGCTGGTGGGGATACTTTTCAGTCAGCAGCCGCAGGCGAAACCGCCAGCGGCGTCAGAGGTCCAAGCGGGCCGCGCGAGAGCCTAATTGCCTAGCCAGGAAGCCTACCGCCAGGAAGCCTCAGCGCCGGAGCTGCAAGCGAGACCAGGGGTGGGGGCTGCAAGGTACTGGGGCGGCCAGGGAGCTGCAGAGTGCACCAAATTAGCCACAGGGTTGGCCGCAGCCAAAATGGCGCGGGAGATGAACCAGGGCGTGACCAGGGAAACGGACGGACAGTGCACGAAGACACTGGTCCGAACTGGTGCATCGGGTGGCGCCACCGAAGTCGCACACCAATCCCCAGAGGGGAGAACTGATCCAGCGCGCGTGTGTCCGCGGAAGATATCAAGGACGGGCGACGAGGCCAGGGAAACGATGGATTAACTCGACAACGTACGTGGCCTGACCACAGGACCATAGAGAGCCACGTGCATTCTCGGACTGGAACCGGCGACTGGGGGAGCCTGAACCAGGGAGGCCCACGCCTCGGCACCCCAGCGAGGCGAAGGCTGCCGCGGGCGATGCCGCAAAGGACCGTGGAACCAATCAGCGCGATCGGCGGCAGCCAGGAGCGCACAGGCTGAAACGCGTGCGATCACTGGAGGGAACGGTGGAGGTACTCCATTCCGTCGCACCGGAACCGCCGGTTCAGGTCAAGCCACGCGCGCTCTCGAGCTGAACCCGAAGACTGAGAACTGCCTGAACCATGGAGATCCACGCCTCAGCCCCGGAGCGAGGGGGCAGGAAGATGCCGCGGGCGTCGTCGTCGCCAGGGACCGGAAGCCGATCGTGGCGGTCGGGCGACGGCGAGGAATGCACAGGCTGAACCACGTGCACTCGGGGGCCCCGGGCGCCCCGGGACGGGGGAGATCCGCTGGAGCGGGGGAGCCAGGGCCCAGAGATGACAGGGGCCACTGCCCCAGCGGCAGTCCACGTGCCAGTATTGTCAGCAAGCCGCTGCCAGCGCCACAAGGCCGGGGGGCGGCGGGGGCTGGGCAGAAAGTGCAGCAAGGGGGTGGCTAACGGCCACTGGTTTGCCGATTACAAGAGCGCGCGTCGCCTCGCCCATCGCCGCAGTGAAAGACATGCGAAAGTCCTCAGTCACCTGAGGAGCCCGGCCTCCAGGCAGGGAAGGCGCGACGCCCCTGGCCATGCGGCCCGCAGAGGCCCACTGCAGAATGGCGCACCTGGGGACCAGGGGGCCGCAGAGGCGGCACTTTCTGCAAGAAGCCACAGCGACCCACGCACCCATGCACGGAAGACTCCGTCTAGTCCGACACAAGGGCGGGCGAACCCGCAGTGACGGTCCACGAGCCAGTAAAGCCAGCAGGCTGCTGCTAGAGCGCCCCAAGGGCAGGGGCGGCAGGAGCTGGGCAGAAAGCGCTACCAGGGAGTGGCGAACAGCCACTGGTTTGCCGACTGCAAAGGGAACATCACCAAAAGCGGGGGCGAAGGTCGCCTCGCCCGGTGCCTCAGAGGGGGGCCCGCGCGAGTCTGTTGCCAGC